TACCATACATATATTGGTCAGACTTAAGGTCTGATCATCCTCTGTTCCGTTCCCAATTGGTGCCGGGATTTCCTGCTCATTTGCTTTGAACCATGCCTGACATTCACTCTCCGCATAACGTGCAACCTCCAACGGATCCCTATCAATACCTCTGAATAGCTTGTCGTTCCTAGCCTTCCATATGTACCAGATTAGCCAATGATAAGGATCCCTGTCCAATTCCGGTTCCATTATCGCATTCTTCCTCCAGAACAAGTAATCCATATTCGCATACGGACTTTGGACTGGGAACACAGCTGGGTTGGAAGGCGTGGATGACAGCGCCCAAACTTGTAGAGCAGGTGGGCATTCAAATATTGCATGATTGATCGTCTCCTCCGGTTCCCCACAACGAGGACAGTGGTTGTCACATCTCATGTGTCTGTGGTTTAAAATACTCGTAACTGCAACATGACCCGTTATCAACTGCCACATAAGATGACAGATCTTTTGAGGAGCTCTAACCTTCCACGCATGTGCTTGAAGTTTAGTGATGCTGGGCTCACAGACTTCTGTTTCCTCTTCCTTCCTCAAGATATGTCTTGCCACCCAGTAACCAGATTTTACTGTATACTGACCACTCCTTGTATAACCCCAGCAATACGTATCCCGTCGATGTGTAGAGCTAATAGCCATATTCTTGATCAATGGTATATCCGCTGCTGCAATGTAGTCATGTAGTCGCCTATCGTCCCAACTCTTCGTTGCTTGATTAATCAGATCACTCACTCGCATATTTGGATGCATTACCGGGGCTAGGGAAGTTGCAGGTCTCGCAGGAGTAGCAGGGATCCAAGGATCCTCCCAAGCTCTCACTTCATAGCCTGAGTGTACTTTGTGCCTGATTCCTAGTAGTAACAGCTCTCTTCCCGCCGAAATGCTAGTCCACACATAAGATGGGTTAATTAAGAACTTAGATCTCCCTTTTTTTTGCATTTTGATTATTTTGCTTTTCATAAATCTCATTTACTACATTTTACATGTTCTAGGTTCTACTATGTTCCTAACAAAAAATCCAAGTAGTCTAAACCTTTTTTTGAAAACATTTAGAAAATACGTAAGTTTGGATATTACATTTTTATTTTCATAACTAACATATTATTATATAAATAAAATTAATTAATTTATGGTTTACCCACGGTCGGTCGATCCAATGACCTGGTAACCCAGAAGATTGTCCGGTTTGGTGTCTGATCGGGACCGAGGTTCAAAATACTGACCAAAAGACAATACATAAACAAGACCACATTGCAAAAAGTCATACAAGTCCTTTTGTCTTTCATCAACATCTTATTGAGATAAAGCAAGAAAAATGGCAAGCTGTGAATCCCTCAGCTCTTTATCTGCTGCGGTTTCACCATCATCATCATCAAACAATCTGCAACAAGATGAGCAAATCTCCTTTTAGTTAACAATCCTTTTTTACTCAAAAAGACTCAGAGCCAAACACAAAAGGTCTTTACAGAAGAAGATGAAATCAAATGACACTTGGTATAACGCGAAGTGACATTTGAATGGCTTAAAGACAAACACATACACTGGAAAAAAGAAAAAAAAAACTACATACAACAATTAAAATAATCTCAAACTATCAACTGCTAACTGTTGAGTTTTTAATAAGAGATTTGGACAAAACATATAATCAAAACTCAATACTGAACTCAGGATTCTAATTGTCATCAATAAACAATTTGATGTATTGGTCTAAAAGTGTATACTAAGCTACACACTACATCCTCCAAGAAATGGATCCATCTCTCAGAGACCAATCCCAAATTAGCAAAATTGCACATTAGAATATGTTGAATTTTACATCCTTTAATAAATATAATCACTATAAGAAGTTAAAGAAACTGAACAAAACATGTAATCCACTACATTCATACTTAATCTCCGATGAGATGAGAGAAGATCCAAGAAAGAACCTTACCGCTCAGTGAGACGGAGCTGGTTGTTTCTGATGCGATGATTGAGAAGAAGGAGCCATGAGTTTGCTATAGATCTGCTCGCCGACGAGGTAAACGCAGAAGGCTCCAACACCGATGCCGAGACCAGGTAGAGCGTGTCTCATCTGATTAGAAAGCATCGGGTGTTTCCTCCACTCATCCCTTCTCTTGAAAAACTCTCCCGTAGTTCCCAATGGTTTCGCCATTTTTTCACCCTTCTTTCTACTTCTTCCTCGATCTCCTCCAACAGCAACCTTAGCTTCTGATATTTTATTGACTTTGTGATAAGCCCATTAGACTCAAATATAAGCTAATTGGCCTGTTTAGCTGTGGCTATAGAATGAGCTGATTTGTTTGTATTGACCTCTTTTTTTTTTTTTTTTGTCAACTTCATATCCAAATTAGATCATATAGTCAGACGAGCCGATTTTCCGAGGAATATCTATCTGACCGGATTTGATATATATGAGAAAAGATATAGCTTCTAACCTTTGCTTTTTTACTAGTGGATATGCTTGATAATTCATATTCCGAGAAATATGAGACAAGTTCACATTGTTGAAATTCACATGTAATTTCTGGAACATTTCAATTTCTGTTTTGAAAGTCGGTTGATACTCCAACTTTATAATCATATCCACTAGATTCAAACAGTCCATTTCAAACCGTATCAAAATTATTTTTCATGTCTCTCATACATAAAATTACCCAAAGTTAACATTCTATCTCAGCTTGTAAAGATGAGAGACTCTTTATGCATACTCCGAAGATTTCAAAACTCATTTGATCTTTTAAGACTACAGCCGCTAACATTGCCTTTGACACATCAGTTTGTATTGACTTGGGTGTTATTTAAGGCCCATTAAGCTAATGGGCCTATTGAGCTGGCCCTATATAATTAAAGTTTCGCCGGTGTACGGTATCTCATCTCTCTCACTCACTCACTCGTTTGATTTTATCACCGGCGAGATAATGGCGATGCTTCAAGCGAATCTTGGCTTCCTTAAATCTCCGACATTTCCGGCTCCTTCTTCTAATTTGTGTCCGAAGCTTTCAGTCAAGTTGACATCACTCTCTCTGGGCTTAAGCTGTCGTCTCCCAGGCAAATCTCTCTTATAGGCTTTTGTTTTGTTTTTCAGACCAAACAGAAGATGTGGGTTTTTGATTGTTTCGAATGTTGTTTCAGTTCAAAGACTGGATTTTTCGAAAAGGGTTAGTGGAAGATACAGAAGAGATGCTACATTACATTCTGTCAGATGTTCTTCGTCTTCTTCCGAATCTGATTATGTAAGTTTCAAATCTTGAATCAACCCAGTCCTGAAGCCTTTAGTTTAATTTGAATTAATTTACTTTGTGTTATTAATTAGAGCAATACAGTTGTGAAGGAGAAGAGTGTCTCAGTGATTCTCTTAGCTGGTGGTCAAGGGAAGAGGATGAAAGTACGCTACCTTTTCTCTGCTTAGACTTTCAAACGTTGTGTTGAAGTTTGAGTTTTTTCTTCTGTTCAGTTTCTTCAGTCTTGAGCTATTGTTAATCTGCGTTGTTGTACCTGTCAATGTTATTAGATGACCATACCAAAACAGTATATACCACTCCTTGGTCAGCCAATTGCTCTCTACAGGTATCAACACTTTACTTAAAACTAGTTATCTTATTGAATCTGTGTCAAAGCTATGTACTTTTTTTTGTAATTGTTGAATTTTTATGCCTTATTATTTGCAGTTTTTTCACGTTTTCACGTATGCCTGAAGTGAAGGAGATTGTAGTTGTTTGTGATCCATTTTTCCGAGATATTTTTGAAGGTTTAGTCTCTATATGTCTCTCTCTGTCTTGTACTAGTTATACTTCTGGTTGAGGCTGAGAGATCTCTCTCAAAGATTTTTACTGAGCATTTTGGGTGTGGTCTTGTTATAGAATATGAAGAATCAATTGATGTTGATCTTAAGTTCGCTCTTCCTGGTAAAGAAAGGCAAGACTCTGTTCATAGTGGACTTCAGGTTCATATTTCTTTCTCTCATGAGACGGAATAAACTGTTCTAGATACTGTGTTCATTGCTCTAGTTCGTATGAAGCTTATTGAGTTTCTTTTTAAACAGGAAGTAGATGTGAACGCTGAGCTTGTTTGCATCCACGACTCAGCCAGACCGCTGGTGGAAACTGAAGATGTCGAGAAGGTATGCAAAGTAGCAAAGATTAGGGGAAACTAAACAAAACTTCTCTAAGTCCTTAAAAATTTTCTTGGCATGGTTTTGTTTCTTTAAGGTTCTTAAAGATGGTTATGCGGTTGGAGCAGCCGTGCTTGGCGTTCCAGCAAAAGCTACAATCAAAGAGGTACACATTCTTCAGTTTATTTGGCGAAAAACGTTTTAAGTTAGTTGGTCATCATCAGTTCTTTTTTTTATGGTAATAGACTTGTTTCATTGCGCTATGCAGGTCAACTCTGATTCGCTTGTGGTGAAAACTCTTGACAGGAAAACCCTTTGGGAAATGCAGACACCACAGGTTCTTAATATCAATTTCATGAGTCACTTGAAGATACATGTTTTGTTAGATATATGGTTTTAAACAAGTTCAGTGTATGCTTTCTCTTTAATAGGTGATCAAACCTGAGCTGTTGAAGAGAGGTTTCGATCTTGTGAAAAGGTTAGTGAGCAAAATGATGAGATGGTGATTAACAAATCAAACAAGACTGATTGTTATTTTGTGTACATGTGTGAAACAGAGAAGGTCTAGAGGTAACAGATGATGTTTCAATTGTTGAGTATCTCAAGCATCCTGTTTATGTCACTCAAGGATCTTACACAAACATCAAGGTTAAAAAGAACATTAGCTTACCCTTTTTAACCGCAGTAACAGAATCAAAATAATGTCTTGATTGCTACAATTGTCTTTTTTTTTTCTTTTGAAAGGTTACAACACCTGATGATTTACTGCTTGCTGAGAGAATCTTGAGCATGGAGGACTCATGAGGTAAGTTTTTTCTTTAATCAACTTTTTGACATGAAAATGTTGATAACATGTTCCAGATTGTGAATACTGTTTTGTATCTGTCTGTGTGCAGGATGCAGCACGGCTTGGTACTTTGATTTAATTGTCAGCCTTACTGTTGTATTTTTAGACAATAATGTACTTAGATTTTACATTCAGGTTGATTTAATTGGCAGTCTTGTGATATTTTGTGGGAAAATGATGTTCATGGTCAATGTAAAATCAGAACAGAAACTTAAAACCAAAGATAAACACAAAAGTAGTATTATTATAGATCTTTTTATGAAAAAAGAAAAACACTATAATACAAAACATGCTTTATATTGGCAGGTATTGTTGTACCCTATATTTTCTTAAGCGTTTGATATTAGAAACAGAAACATGTATCCATTAGTCATGTTTAGCAGGAGGAAGGCAAGGGCCCTGGGGACAACAACGTTCACCCGGAACACAGAAAATGGGGAATTGGGAAGAACTGATTCTCTGATTTCTTCAGATCCTGGTTTGGTTCGGTTGAGACAAAGCTCTGTCCTAGCTCTGGCAAAGACCAGATGCAAGAAGAAGCAGAGTGAACACCATTGTTGTTGTAGAGAGTTTCATGATCTTTGTCATCTTTGTGTTTTGATAGAAAATGCTTAACGTAGTTTGCTTTATTTATATTGTTGTGGGAACACGGTATATATTATGAACACTACTTCACCACAAAAAGTGTCGGTAAAATAAAATAAAAGAATCATCTAAATTTGTCAACAAAGTTAGAAGAGAATCATCAAGACACATTGATTGATAGGATTTTTACACAGTTTGTGGAACACATACCATATGTTGTGGTTTGTGTCATATTTTTGGTGGGTTAAAAAAGCACTGACATAACGTAAGGGACATAGATCACAGATACACATATGTGATACAACATGTTATTTATATAAAGTTGCTACGACTTTAACATTTGATTTGTTGTTACAAATAAAAACATTAGTACATAAAACCATTGCTCATAATTAAACTACTCTGACATTTTATTAAATTTCATAGTAACATTTCTGAAGTTTCATAAAAAGAAAACAAAAATCAAGTCTATTAAACTCAACAGGATTGGAACTTTAAAGTGAATTAGCTATCCTTTGACATATCAATGATCAAATAGAATTCAGGAAAAACTATATGGAAGTGGAAGAACATGATAAATTAGAACTTGAGTGAACAATTGTGTTTTCATGACTTTGAAACTAAAGTTTCATCTCCTCAAGTTACCTGCTGTTTTCCTTGGCTTAGCACATCCATTAAACAGAGATAATCCTCTCTTTCCACTTCTCCTAAGACGAACAGGAGTTCCCTTACCCTGTTTAGACTAAACCAAATCCGCAAAGGAAAACAAAAATTCAAAAAATAAACACAAAATATCCAAAATAAAAAAAAAACAGTTTGGATTTGATTAGGACTCTTACCTTGCTTCTTCTTTGAGTCTTGTGTGTGTTCCAACAAAGTAACATATTACAACCAACTCTCCCTGTTCCTGATTCGTATCCTCCTCTACACAACCAAATCCAAAATGTTCATACACAACCAACTTTATGTCCCAGAATGAATCAACAACGCCAATAAGGAACTTACAGATTGTCTTTGTTGTGTCCAAACTTAGAATCATGAAGTAAGCTCGGGGAAAGAGGACAATGCTCCCCTCTCCTACCAGTTAGATTCTCTTGAAGCTCACCATTTTCACCGATCTTCAAAAGCTTAACATCACTGTTTAATTCATCTCCCCAATGGTGAGAAGTTAAGCCAGATGGAGAAACAGCAGAGCCTAAGTTAGGTTGGCGATAAGTGTCTTCTTGAGGATGAATCTGATTCCTCTCAGGTTTTATCCGTATTAGTGATCCAGGTGTGTCTTTATCAGCGGTTTGTAACCATGCTGTCTCTAGTCTTTGCTCTCGGATGATAGACTCTATCCTTTGCATTGGGAGTTTTGATCTGCCTTCTTCACTGCTACCAACTCCAAGGTCTGATGCAGCATTTAGATCTCCACCTTTGTTGGACATATCTGGTTTCCCGGTTTGGTGAGGGAGGATGTGTAACTCGGTTTCAGGCAAGAGTAGTATCCTGATCTCTACGCTTCTCCTTAGTACCATTTCCATTGAGTTTGTGATACTGCTTAGAAACCTTTCAGCTCTTGTTTTGATGTCGGTTTCTCCAAACGCTATATAAGCAACTAGTATACCTGCAAAGTGCAAATCATATACAACTTTTTAACACTGCAAAGATGAGAAAAGAGTAAAACGTTTAGGAATTGTTATACCTTCAACTTCACTGATAGATAAAAGTTTTCCATGAGTATAGAGCAGCTGCCTCAATGTTTTGGAGTGACATCTTTCTATACATTTTCTCCATATATCGTTTAGTTTCTCTGAACTTCTTTGAGCAAGCATCATGGTGCTTGCAGTATCATTGTCATGTGAGGCTTCACTCTCTGGAACTTGGCTAGACGAGGAGGATCTATAGCAGGTATTATCGATAACTCTGGAGAAAGATTTGGCTTCATGGATCTGCTTTCCGCTCTTTTTTGGGGATGCTGACTTACTAAAGTGAAGTCCTCCTGTTCTCTGTTTGTAAGGAATCACTTCCCTTGAAATGCTTGATGGGTCGTCATCAGTGGCTCTAGAGCTTTGTCTTCTACTGCTGCATCCTGTACGTGTGGTTCCAGGAGAAGGCATTGACCCAAGCTGAAGCAAAGTCGCTGTGAACCAGGTTGAACGGTCATTAGAAACTCTAAGCTGCTTCTCTGCCTCAGAAAGAAGTTTCAAAGCGTGTTTTAGTCCCTCCATATCAGCTTCACTCACTACAAAAACAAAGCAAGAATACATAGCTAAGGGTGTGGTATTGATTGAAGATAAAAATGGATTTCAAATACTTTGCTTATAACTCACAGTTTCGTCCATCAAGGAAGGCTTCACTGTATTTTTCGTCTACTACCTTGTATGTACCAGCAATGATGTCCATTATAAGACTAGCAAGTTGAGACATCAAGACTATTGGGTCAGCTCCAAGGTCCAATAACTCTCTAGCTCGTTTCACTGTCTCTGCCGTATCAGATGACAACGCTAACTCCAAAAGTTCCAGCAATTTTTCATCTGATACAACACCTACCTGCACAAACACCAGTGTTACATTAATAAGTTTTACTTTGTTTTTTCAATGCAACAGAAACATAGACCACTTACTAGCTCGTTTACTAGACCAGTGGTGATACGTTTCCCCAACAAACTCAGCTGCTCCAACATAGTTTCAGCATCTCGAAGTGAACCATCCGCATTCATAGCAATCAGATCCAACGCGTGAGATTCCACATCAATATTCTCGTCTGAAGCAATTTTCTTCAGTTTCACAACAATGTCAGCATCTTTAACTTTGTCAAAGAGAAACTTCTGACACCTTGACTGAATAGTCCTAGGAACATTGTCAAGATCTGTCATCAGAAATATGAAGACAACTTTCTTCAAAGGATTCTCAAGAAACTTGAGAAAAGACAGCCACGTTTTAGATGGCAACAAATGACACTCATCTACCACAAAGACCTTGTACGTTGAGGACTTCCTTGGAAGTATTGTCTGTAGGTTTCTCAAAAGATACATAACCTTATCAGCTCCTTTCTTATTAGCTCCATCTACTTCCCAAAAGTCCTTACTCTTCCCAGACATGAACTCATTGCACTCTTCACAGTATCCACAAGGCTTCATCTCTTCAGTGGCTACACAATTCAAAGCTGCTGAAAATATCCTAGCGGTTGATGTCTTACCAGTTCCTCTAGGACCTTGGAAAAGATAAACAGGAGCGATCCTATTCCTTTTTACAGCGTTCATTAGTGACTGAACAACAATACTCTGACCAATCAGTTCATCGAAAAACATCGGTCTGTACTTTTGGCTGAAGCTTGAGATGTTTTCCGGTGTACTACTTCCTTCTTGACTCCTACAACTAGTAGACCATCTCTTCCCATCTAATCTACTCTGAGCCTCTAAATCAATCTCTCCATAATTAGTAGAAATCTCATCATCATCATCATCATCACTAAGTCCAGTTCCTATAGAAGACCCTCCTCTACCATAAGTGAGCAAAGGTAGAACTCCCTGAGCACTTCTTGAACCAATCTTGTGTCTACTATGTCTACGATACACCGATCCACTCCCACATAAAATGCTACTCCTTAAAGTATCAGACAAGGAAGGAGAGCAACAACTTCTGCATCCACCTCTAGCCTTCTTGGTCCAAATCCCACAGCCTTGCCTCTTATCACCCAACTCATCATCATCACCGTCACAAGTGGTTGTACCATCCGTGCTTGGATTACGAACAGCATACATGTTGAACGAGCTTGGTGTGCTGTTATGAGTACACGAAGAATCCTCTTTTCTACGATTAAGCTTCAAAAGCAAAGGAGATGATGCACTAGTGACATGCCTTAGATACTCTGATAGTTCAGCAGAGTCATTTCTTCTTCTAGCGACTATGTTCTTTTTCTTACTCTTCTTCCTAGTCTTAATAATCGAATTAGCACTCTTCCTTGCATCACTCACATCATCATCATCGTCATTAGCTTGTTGTGTCCAGGAAGATTCGTCTTGTTGGTTAGCTAAACCGCTTTTCTCGCTGGAGGATTTATGAGTCTTCCAGTTGTATAAGAACACTTTCTTCTCCTTGCCGTTTCGATTATTACTACTACTCTCTTCTGCTCGAATCTGACTCGAGCTCCCTACATTTCTGCACACGGGAGGCTCCACGACAGCGAGGGATCTGGAGGAGTTGAGAGGAGATCTCCAGGAGGAAGAGGTGCCTGGATCGCGAAGAACTCGGGAAGCTTTCTTGATTTGAGTCAGCTCTCTCTTGAGATGCAACTTGCTCAGATCCGAAGCTCTCCTCGAGCTCGACATTTCTACTTCAGTGGAGCTGGTTCGCATGCACGATGGATACACAACCAATGTGAACAAATCAGAAGCAGCAAGACAGTAGATCCATAAAATAAACAATACGATACACAATACAATACAAAAAATATATATATATATAGTCTAGTTATTTCCTAGAGCTTATGCATCGCCGGAGCTTGATTGAACACAAAAAGAAATGAGATGAATCACGAGTTCTGAAACCATATGTTGCCTGCTGCCTGTCCTGTGCAGAGAGAAAAAAATCGATTATTCAAACATCTTATATTTTAAAATGTCTTTTTCTTTTCTTTTTTTTTTTGGGAAGAGAAAGTGAGAGTGAAGATGAGAACTGTAACTCCCGAAAGAGAAAAGTGTTGGATTCACCTTTTGGTCGGGTCTCGTTCATTCCCTCCGTGTCCACACTGTTTTTTTTTTTTACCTTTTTAAATTATGTAATTAATAACTATTTTCTTTTATTATACTGGCATATATTTTTTTTTTTTGAGAAAGAAATACTGGCATATCTTTTTATGTTACTTTAAAAAACAAACAAAACTTAGGTTCATTCCCTAGGATATAAACCTTTAAATTCATCTCACATTTAATAACTACTCATTATGCTATATAGGTTAATAAATAAAAATATTAAATATTAGGTATGTACCCATGCATTGCACGGATTTCAATTAATGTTTTAACGTTATAAAAAATATAAAATGAGAAAAAAAAATTGCAATTGTTGGATTTTTACATATATTGCGTGAAACTTTTTTAGTAATTAAATTGTTCTTCTACATAAGTTTTGGTTAGTATTTATGTTTCAGTATTTTTTTGTCGACTATGTTTCAGTAATCATTGTACATAAACAGTTATTAGTAATTTTGAATTTAGGGGTAGAGAAAAAATCCAAACCCAAAAATTTAAATTGAATCTAACCCTCGAAAAATATGAATTAGAGTAAATTACAATAAATTAGAAAGTTTAATTAAAGCAAGCGAATCGGTGATAATATATGCACTTTATAGAATTTATCTACCTTAAAAGAAAATGCAGAAAATATAATTACATCTCTATATTTAGAGACAAAATAGCCTTACTCTATATTTTTATAAAAATAAAAAACTTTATCATCAAATCTTACAATTAAGCAAATTTACCTTATAATACAATTTCACTATTTCAAAAGAAAATATACTAATGAATCTATAGGTGAATTGAAAATAATCTATTTGCTTAACTAAGGGAAAACATTGGATCAACATTTTTATCATGTAATATATAGGTAATGAAACTATTATACATTATGCATTTCAATAATATTTTAATTCTTGTATCCAAAAACATGTATGTTGTGAAGACCATGTTTTTGAATCATTATTGTCTAAATAACTATTTATAAATAGAACTTAATAATTAAAGTTTTATGGGAACCAAAACTATAGTAAATATAAATAATATATAATAAATTGTATTAGTGTATATTGTAGTAGAGCTGAAATAACAATCATTAAAAACTGATTGTAACTTCGTTTCTAATATACGAATTTCAATATAGATATATATTAGGTTCTACATTTTTCCTTTATAATATTTTCACTCTAGATTCATATTTATAGTAATAACATTTTCAATAAAAAGAAAATTTATCTAACCTAAATTATACTTTTTTGCATAAAACAAATTAGTTACATAACTATAAGTATATATATATATATATATAATATTTTTAATAAGGGAAAAGGATAAAAATAAATTTCTATTCGTTATCTATTATTTTCAAAATAATTTTCTTCTCACTTTTTAGTAACAATAAAGATATTCTTTTATTAAACTGGTTTAATTTAAACATTTTTTGAATTCATTGTTTCTTGATGCTACATATCCATTATAACAACTTAAAATAAAAATGAAGTATAAGAAAATATTGCATAGTTATTTTTTACCAAATACATATAAAAATCAGTTACATGGAGACAATAATAATAATAATAATAATTATTATTATTATTATTATAATAATAATAAAAAAATTTTAATAACCAAACACCTAAAAATATTAGATATGTGTTTGACTTTAGTATGACCAAACACATATAAAACCCAAACATGAAAACATCCAAATTTCTTATGATTATTCATGAAGAATATGACAACAGTAAAAACGCTAGTAAACAATTATAATACGAAGAATTATAATAACAATTTTTTAAAAGTTATAATAAAGGAATAAAAAGATAGACATCTATTGATTTAAAATAATAGAAAATAACGAAAATACAACATTCGTATATTATTAATTTCGAAAAATTGTCCTTTATTTTTCTAAAATTTTTGCTTATTTTCTAAAATTGTCGCTTATTAATAACTTCACGTTTGTAAGGAAAATCACTGTTAGATATTTATAACAAAAATCAAATGTGTAGTTATTTAAAGGGAATTATGTATCTTAAACCAATGCCTACTGGCTTTACAATTATTTTCAACCCATATAGTTTAGTTTAACTTGAAAATATGGTTCGTTAAAAAGGACTATTACCATTATAATAAACCTATAGATTATGTAATTATAATTAAAGCAATTTTTATTTAAGCTTGCAAATAAAATTCTGGACAAAGGAATATTACAATTAAAATAAAATTATAAGAAGTCTTTTTACAATTTTAGATGTTTAGTATTTTTTAAACAGAAAAAATAATATTAAATATTTATAATTAAAATATTTAATATAATTAAAGTTAACAATAAAAATACTAAGATACTAAAACTTATTTTGTTAAAAATTAATAATATATCTTATTTAATAATATTTTACATTTCTAAAATCTTAAGCAAAATTTAATTTCAAATAATTATTTGATATAAATTTTGAGATGTTTTAGAATTTTTATTAATTTTATTACTTTCCACAGCGCGATATTTATAACATATAGTTTTAATTAATTAAGTCGTGCATTAATTTAAATAGTTATGTTAGAACATAACTATTTTATATATGTAAATAGTAATAGTTTACAATAACTATTGTAAAGTTATATGCATCATAATACCTAAAATTACGTTATAACATATACCTAAATTTTAAAGTTGATATAAAAGAGTTTCTCATTATTTTTATGTTTTCATAAAATAAAATAAAAATAAACAAAATATGTGCGTTGCACGGATCCATACTCTTTTTATATTATTTTATGTTTGTATAGTATTTTTTAAAAATAATAATAACTATTATAGGGAAAATTAGCATTAAACGGACATTTTACGTTTAATATTTTTAAAGGATAATTACTAGTTTTTTAAAAAAAAAAAATCTTTTCTTTACTATTTGAGAGAAGGAAAATCAGTGCTAAATTTAAAAGAATAATTACTAATTTTTTTGTCTTTGAAATTTTTAGGTAAAATATTTTTAAAAGAATAAGTACTATTTTTTACAATTATCTTTTCTTTATTATTTGAGAGAAGGAAAATCACTTTATTATTTGAGAGAAGGAAAATCACTTTATTATTTGAGAGAGGGACAATCAGTGTTAAATTTAAAAGGATAATTACTATTTTGTTACAATTATCTTTTCTTTATTACTTTTTTAGCACATGTCACAATCTTAAATATATATTTGCCATGTGTTACTATCTTGTTAATTATTAATTTTAAAGAACCAATCTTTATATAATAAGATTTTTAAAAAGACTAAAATAGCTTAAAAAAAAAGATAACGTCAATTTTAACAACGCTGGCACCACTAGCTAAACCTTAAATCTAAACCGTAACCTAAAACTCTAAACTCTAAACCGTAAACTTAAATCTTATACCCTAAAACCCAATCCTAAACCCTAAACCCGAATCCTATACCCTAAATCCAAACCCTATACCCTAAAAACTAAATCTTAGACTCTAAACCAAAACTCTATACCTTAAATCCAAACCCTAGACCTTAAATCCTAAACCTAAATCTTAGATCCTAAAACCATAAAGCTAAACCTTATATCTTAAATTCAAAGCCAAACTGTGAATCCTAAACCTAAATCTTATATCATAAATGTTTAGATTAATGTTGATATTCTTTATTTAGAGTCTAAGGTTAGGATTTAAGGTTTGAATTTAGAATTTACCGTTTGATTTCATGATTTATGGTCTAGAGCTTGAATTTAGACTTTAGGGTTTGAATTCAAAGTCTAAAATTTGGGTTTATGATTTAGGGTCTAAAGTTTAGGGTTTGGAATTTAGGATCTAGAGTTTCGGTTTGGGTTTAGGGTATAGAGTTTGGATTTAGGGTCTAGGATTTAGGTTTTATGGTTTAGGGTTTACATTTAGGATCTAGGTTTGGGTTTTAGGGTATAAGGATTGAGTTTAGGGTATTGGTTTTTGTTTAGGGTTATGGTTTGGATTTAGGGTTTAGCTAACGCCGTTAGCGTCATTAAAATTAGCGTTATTTTTTAGTTATTTTGACTGTTTAAAAATATTTAATAATATTTCTTCATTAATCTATGTGACAAAATGAGTGGTTATTAGAGGTGAGGTGAATTTAAAAGTTTATGTTAGAGGGTGAACCTAAGTTTTGTTCTTTTAAAAATGTTATTTGTAATAGTAAAATAATTAGAAGTATTGTTTTGACAATATGTATACTCCTGTTGTTGAATATTTACTTAACATTTTCTTTCAAGACTGGCATTATGCTTATCTTACTGATGCCATATTATATTTGTATTGTCTGATTTTAACCAAGTTTTAAAATTCAGCCAAAGCTTTAAAAAAACTTGTCATGGAACAGTCAGCATTTTCTTAACGAATAGAATGTATTTTTTTATTAGTAATACAAAAGTCATTAAAACTATACGTCCAGTTTGCTACAATGTTTTGGTATTTGCGCAAGTTCCTTTTTGTTCTTCTTTTCTACTGGCCAACAACAATTCTTGGTTACGCACACACACAACTATTCAAGAGGGTTTTGAGAAAAAAAAAATTACACAAGAGAGTGATAATCATAACTAAAAGGTACAAAAGTTCACCATGCCAGTTTGTAGTAGATGTATGCTCATGGTTCCTTCGCATCTCTCCATGGATCTTTTCTAATTGATCAAGAAATGAAAATGGAAGAAAGAAAGGTTGCTAAACAATCTAGATTCAAATTCGCTCCACTATACTCTATTATTTGGTCACGCGGATACAAATCTATTGTTTAGCCAATTTGAATATTTGGAAAAAGTGTCCATCAGTGAGTTACACCTCTTTTAGAAGATTATTCTGAACTTTTCCATAAGTATGTGA